TAACAAGACATCGTTTTATATTTCTTAAAATATCCCCTAAGGGCACAAATAGAAATACCATATTCGAATACTTCAAATTAATTAAAATTAGTGTATGTATACTAGACATTACATGTGAGACTATAGACTTTTATTGTGCTTGAACTTTTTAACAAGCCTGTCCAAAGACTGCAGTTCCTCTAATAGTGTGCATTATCTTTGTTAATCATTCATGAGATTTAGCACCGATTGCACCATTAACTGTATTCAGCACATAATTAATAAGAAAAATTCATCAAGAACCCAAAATATGGGACCAATAGAGGGGACAAGTGAGGTGTCCCCCTCCTATTGGATAATGAGTTGGTCATTATTAATGATAGCCAACTCATTATCCAATAGGAGGGGAACACCTCACTTGTCCCCTCTATTGGTCCCATATTTTGGGTCCCTGTAGCAAAGCTCAATTAATAATCCAATATGAGTCATAACCCACTTAATTAGATATTAATGGAAGTACAAAGATACTATTACAGGTTTGCAAACAATCTCCGAAAGTTGATGCAAAGTCCCGGAGGCATATTTGGTCGTAGCCAGCCTGGTTACAGGTTTGCTGATGATTGGAGAAGAAAGAATATAATTAGTTAAACAGAGTCTTTAATTATTTACAATATTATGAGTCCCAAATTAACAACGATAAAAAATAAAAGGAACATATCGAGGCATCTACCCTGAAACAAATTGTTATTTTACATTTCAATTTCAGATGCGGAAAACCTTAACAAAGTCTATCATAAAAGTTTAGCTAGGTCTTTACAATAAATAAAACTTTAACTCAAAATATTTGATCAATTGTTTTACTTTTTTTCCTCTCTCTCTCTCTCCTCATGTTGTTAGGATCTAGATGTCCCCAGGAGGCATCAAATAAAGGCATATAAATAAATGCAGTGAAAAAGATAAGAAATGAACAACCACAAGCACAAAACATAAATTTTTATAATTGTTATTTTGCTAGCTAGGTGTAGAGACATAGTAGTTGCGTATGCACTTCCGATGGAGAGTGTGGATGAGATGGTTCCTACTACATTCAGAGAGGCTAAGCAGAGTTCAGAAGCTGATTTTTGGTAGGAAGCGATGCAGGAGGAGATGAAGTCTCTTCATAAGAACGACATATGAGAGCTTGTTGAGCTTCCAAAGGGACGGAAGACTATTGGTTGTAAATGAGTGTATACGAAGAAGGAAGGCATTGAAGGCACTCCCGTGAGGTTCAAAGGTAGGTTGGTAGCGAAGGGTTATGTACAGGAAGAAGGCATTGACTACAATGTGATCTTCTCTCCGGTGGTGAAGCACTCTTCGATTAGGATCTCACTAGCTTTGGTGGTACATTATGGTTTGGAATTGGATCAATTGGATGTGAAAACAATATTTCTTCATGGAGATCTTGATGAAAAAATCTATATGATTCAGCCATTGGAGCTTCGAGCTGCAGGAAAGGAGAAATTAGTTTGTAGGCTAAAGAAATCGCTATACGGATTGAAGCAATCTCCGCGACAGTGGCATAAACGATTCAATAGGTTTATGATCGGTCATTCGTACATTAGGAGCCAGTTTGATCCTTGTGTGCATTATCGCAAGTTGCAAGGAAATACGTACATCTATTTGTTGCTTTATGTTGATGACATGTTGGTTGCTTTTATTTTCAGATTCGTTATAGATGAGTTGAAGGTACAGCTTTCGAAAGAGTTCGAGATGAAGGATTTGGGTGAAGCGAAACACATTTTGGGGATGAAGATCGATAGAAATAAAGATAAAGACAGAAATTTTTTGACACGGATGGATTATTTGAATAAAGTTCCACAACGATTTAATTTTAGCATAGAGACTAAGCCAGTTAGTGTATCTTTGGGAACCCATTTGAAGCTTTCACCCGGCCTTTCACCAAAGATAGTTGAAGAAAGAGAGTTAATGTCGAAGACTCCATATGCAAGCACAGTGGGAAGTTTGATGTACGACATGATTTGTACGAGGTCAGATTTGTCACAGACAGTGAGCATGGTTTCGAGATACATGCACAATCCGGGTCCGGATCATTGGGATGTCATGAGATGAATTTTGATGTACATTCGAGGTACACTCAACGTTGATTTGGTTTTTGAGTGGGACACTAGCGGTGGATAGCTATGTATTGGATACGTAGATTTAGACTACGCTGGAGATTTGGATAAACGCTGATCGACGACGTGGCATGTGTTCACTTTGACCCGTGTGCCAGTATGTTGGAGATGCACCTTGCAGTCTACAGTGGCTTTGTCGACGACAGAGGCATAGTATATGTCGATTACAGAGGCTATTAAGGAGGCGATTTGGCTTCAAAGACTTTTGGTGGATCTTGGTGTTTCACAGCAATCCGTCACCATTTATTGTGATAGCATGAGTGCTATTTATTTGGTGAAGAATCAGGTTTTTCATGCATAGACGAAGCACATTGATGTTTGTTATCACTTCGTTCGGGATGTTCTTGAAGATGGGGATGTGGAGCTTATTTAGATTCACACAAAAGATAATCTAATGGATATGCTCACGATGGTGGTTCCGAGCAATAAGTTCGATGATTGTAGAAACTTATTGCAAATTCGTAATTGTTGAGGTCTTTCGAGACCATTTGGATGAACTACGAGAGACTTGATCCCTTAGGAGAGGGGGTACGTAGGAAACCACATTGGTGTAGTCGGATTTGACGAGACGACGCATTGGTGCTCATGTTGGTGTCGGCTCAGTTTTGGGAACACTTCGCCGAGGTGGAGAATTGTCGAAAACGGTGTCGAATTGTTCAAAGTGTTGAAAAAACATGAAAATTCAGCAGCCTGGGTGTGGTGCGTGCCACAACCAGGTGTGAAAGAATCTGCCCTGTTGTTAGGGGTATGGTGCGTGCCACACCCACGTGTGGCAGACTCGTTTTCAGAGTCCCACCCTATTTTGGATTAGGTTTGTTATAAATAGAAATACACGTTTCTAGGGTTATTAGAGAGAGTTTGAACAAAGAATTTGGGTTCTTTTGAGCACTTTGAGAGAGGGATTATTGTGAGAGAGTGAGAGATCATTGGTTGGGTTATTTTGAGAGTTGTTTGAGAGATTGTAATCCGTTGATTCTCCTCCATATAGTGAAATCTCCACATCCTTTCCCTGTGGACGTAGGCAATTGCCGAACCATGTGTATCTCTGTGTTTATGTGATTTTGACCGTTAATTTGGTGGATTGCCCTCGTGTTTGGTTTTGGTTCTTCTCTCATCGCTCGCCGACTCGTTTGGTTTGCGAGCACGCTTCTGCACAACGTGCAACAAGTTAATGCAGTGCTTAAAAAAATAAGGAGTAGTGTTTTGCACGGGGTGCACACTAGTGTGTGTGTGTGATATATATATATATATATATATATATATATATATATATTATATTATATATATATATATTATATATATATATATATATATATATATTATATATATATAATAAAGGGAAAGTTTGCTGCTTTAAGTTCAAGTTTGAACAAAGACTTCAACATGGTATACTCCTGACACGGAAGGTCAATCACTCCATTACACCAAGACATCAAAATGTTGATGGTCTAATTAGAGTACGGAAATTGAAAACAAATCTCAGTCTAACTCTTTTGTCTTTCCCCCCTCTAATATTTTGTCAAAAGAAAGTAGAATTTTCGGTTAAATGTTTGATGGATTGAGTGGCAGATTCTATATGCGTCATGTTAGAAATTCAGTATGCCAAATTGCTAACGAGCGACCAACGAAGTTCTCTGGGTGTGCAGTAATCCACTAAATTTAAGTCAAGTCTCATAACAATGTCAATCTTTTCACATGTTTTTTCTTATTAACCTTTTTCAATGTGGGATTATACTCATCCACGAATTTTTTAATAATCACCATTTTTACTCATAACAATGTCAATTTTTTAATAATCACCATTTTTACTTCAGGGTATTGGGATGTAATTAATCATTTTTGTCTTTTTTTTAAAAAAAAAATAACAACTTATTAATGAACATACACTTTTCTCTCTCTTGTAGTGTAAGGATAGGGTTGGAGAGAATAGTTTAGCTAGCATTATTCATTAATTAGGTTTTGATCTTAGTTTTACATTTAAGCCCTCTACTCTTTCTTAACCTCCTCAGTACGACAATGCCCTCACACATGACAATGCCCTCACACATGAAATCGCAGCGCACGCAACCAAACTTAAGGATGACTGCGCCTTTCTCTATATTAAAAATTTGAATTTAGAACTACTAGATTTTCGTGACAACTCATTAGTGAATAGAAATAGTGTTAGAATAACATTTAACCAAGTTATATATATATATATAGTACTCTGGCTGATATAATTTACATTTTTCATGGTAGGCGAGCATCGTCAAAGTTACAAACCTAACTAAACAAAAGAAACAACAGCATCAATAAATACCTCAGCCGCCTTCGCCGGCACCTTGATAATTTCATTCATAATCAAATCCTCATCAGTGCAATGATAAGGATATAAAGATATTGTATGAACATGAAAATGTGGTGATAAGAATGAGAGGGACAAACAAAGAAAGAAAATTAAATAAAATCCAACAGAAACAAAACATGTGGTTGGTGGTACGCTCACATATTTCCACCACCACCACGCTAGCTAATCAATACCAGGCAGCTCCCATCATTCTCCTATTATGACATTTATCACCTTATCTTATTTTATTACTTCCTCCAATAATCACATCTATATTACTAACAAACTTAATTCCCAATGGGCGATTTTTCACATAATACAAAATTCAAGAGAGCTTCAATATTCTTTTAAAAAGGAAAAAAGAAAAGAGAAAAACAAAGAACAAATTAAAAGAAAATGAGAGCAACACTCAATGAGAATAATATTATTGAAAATCTATAAATTGTTCCTCCCTCTTTTTCAGTTAAGAAGAGAATTAAGCATCCTTGTACGAGAATGT